CAAAGGTTTTCTCTACAAAGGGTTTTGTCTTTCTCTGGACAGATTCTTGTCGTGAAGGGTAGGTTTCACTGGAGAGAAATTACAACTCTTGAATTCACGTTTCTAGGAATGAAAGGTCAAATGGAGCCTTTTACCAAAGGATTAATGTTGACTTATGTAAGCCTTGAAAGGACCTCTTATTTGTTTCTTTTCCTTTAAAATTCTCATAACTGGGAGGAGTGACATGACATCAGCAAAATGGCAGTGGAAGTTCTCAGCCCTTCTTCTCCTCACGAACACGATTCAGCAATAATTTATAGGCAAGTTCTCTTTGCGAGGTATCAGACACACATTGAAAGCATCTTGAGCCCTGGAAAAATACAAAATCAAACTCAGTGAAGCTGATGGGGAGATTCAGGACACTTTCCCAGAGATCCTGTTCCCATTTCATCCCCTTAGGAAGAGACAACCTAGTTCCCAGCTTCACCTAGGAGAGGGAGGAGTTGGTGCCAGCTTTTCTGAAAGGACTGCATAGAAGACTGCATTTCAACTTACTGGTCTTGGAGATCTCATGGATCCAGTGCAGCACAGTCACATGTGGGCAAACAGAGACAGTCACTTGGGCTAGTGGAAACCACTGACCTGCCCACCTGTTCAGCACAGAGTGAGCAGATAAAAAACCCAGTTCCAGCCGGGCGCGGTGGCTCAAGCCTGTAATCCCAGCACTTTGGGAGGCCAAGGCGGGTGGATCATGAGGTCAAGAGCTCGAGACCATCCTGGTCAACATGGTGAAACCCCATCTCTACTAAAAATACAAAAAATTAGCTGGGCATGGTGGCACGTGCCTGTAATCCCAGCTACTCAGGAGGCTGAGGCAGGAGAATTGCCTGAACCCAGGAGGCGGAGGTTGCGGTGAGCCGAGATCGCGCCATTGCACTCCAGCCTGGGTAACAAGAGTGAAACTCTGTCTCAAAAAACAAACAAACAAACAAAAACCCAATTCTAAGATTCCCCCTGGAGAAAGCCTTGATCCATGTGTCCAGTGCTCCAACCTTTCCAGGGATGCTTAAAGACCTAGCATCTGTCACAAGTCTTGAAACTCTGATGGGTTCAGCACTGTATCTGCCTGGGACAGAAGAGCCTGTAGGTGATACAGTTTCCTTCCTGGCTTAGCACATAGTGAGGAGCCAATAGCCACACCTATCTGCTTCTCTCTGGGGAGGGGAAGAGTTGGTAGAGGCCTCAGTGAAGATGGGTGTAAATCTTCTCTTGTATACGGGCAGCCCATAGAGACTGAGAAAGGTGCATGCCCTTTCGAATATGTAGACACCAACACTGAGAGTCAAGAAAAATAAAAATTAAGCAAGGATGTTCCAAATAAAGAAACGAGAAAACTCTCTAGAAACTGACCCTAATGAAGCAGAGTTATATGGTTTATCTGACAGAAAATTAAAAATAATTTTTTTTATTTTTTTTTTGAGATGGAGTTTCGCTCTTGTTACCCAGGCTGGAGTGCAATGGTGCGATCTCAGCTCACCGCAACCTCCGCCTCCTGGGTTCAGGCAATTCTCCCGCCTCAGCCTCCTGAGTAGCTGGGATTACAGGCACGTGCCACCATGCCCAGCTAATTTTTTGTATTTTTAGTAGAGACGGGGTTTCACCATGTTGACCAGGACGGTCTCGATCTCTTGACCTCGTGATCCACCCGCCTTGGCCTCCCAAAGTGCTGGGATTACAGGCTTGAGCCACCGCACCCAGCCAAAAATAATTCTTATAAAGATGCTCACCAAAGCCAAAAGAACAATAAATGAGCAAAGGGAAAATTTCAACAAAGAGATAGAAAATATTGAAAAGCACTAAATAGGAATTATGAAGGGAAGAACACAATAACTGAAGTGAAAAATTCACTGGAGGGATTTAACACATAGCTCAAGCAGAAGTAATGATTAGTGAATGTGAGTCAGGTCATCAGAAATGATTCATTCAGAGAAACAAAAACAAAATTTAAAGAATAAAGAAAGATTAGGGGAATTATGTGAAACTGTCAAATGGACCAATATATACATTATGGAAGTTCCAAAAAGAGAATAGAGAGAGAAAGGACCAAAAAGCTTATTCAAAGAAATAATGGCTGAAAACCTCACAAATCTGAGGAAAGAAATAAACACACAAATCCAAGAAGCCCAAATGACACCAAATAAAAGGAACACAAAGAGTTCCACACTAAGACACACTATAATCAAGTTGTCAAAAGCCAAAGACTGAGAATTTTGAAAGCAGCAAGACAAAAGTGATTTATCACATAAAAGAAAACCTCCGGAAGACTGTCAGCAGATTTTTCAGCAGACATCTTGCAGACTAGAAGGAATTGGGATAATATATTCAACTTCCTGAAGGAAAAAATAATCCTGATAACCAAGAATGCTGTAACTGTCAAAACTCTCCTTCAAATATACATGAAAAAGACTTAGGCAGGCAAACATGAGCTGAGAGAGTTCATCACCACTAGACCTACATTACAAGAAACGCTAAAGGGAATTTTTCAAGTAGAAATAGCAGGACAGTAAACAGCAACCTGATAGCATAAGAAAGACTGAAACTCCTTGGTAAAGGTAAAGACATAGACAAATACAGGATACTGTATTATTATAATGATGGTGGGTAAATTACTTTTAACTTTAGTATAAAAGTTAATGGACAAAGTGTTTAAAAAACTATCACTAAAATTGTTAAAAGATCCACAATTTGAATAGATGTAAAATTGTGACAATAATGATGTAAAGTATGCGTTTGGGGCGTGATTGAAAGTGTAGTTTGGTTAACGATTACACTTAAGTCATTGTCAGCTTCAACTGTTATGACCATGAGACATTTCATTTAAGCCCAAGGTAACCACGGCAAAAAAACCATAGAAGTTACACTAAAAAAGGGAAAGGAATCAAAGCATACTGATACCAAAGAAAGAAAAACAACCCAGCAAAACACAAAGGAAGACAGAAACAGAAGGAAGACACTGAAAGGAGTGAGAAGATTAACACATAACAACTAAAAAATGCCAAAATTAAATTATTTTCTTTCAATAAAAACTTTAAATATATATGAGTTAAAATCCACCCCAATGGGAGGCTGAGGCAGGTGGATCACTTCAGGTCAGGAGTTTGAGACCAGCCTGGTCAACACGGTAAGATCCTGTGTCTACTAAAAGTATAAAAGTTAGCTGACCATGGTGGTGGGCACCTGTAGCCCCAGCTACTCAGGAGGCTGAGGCAGGAGAATCACTTGAATCCAGGAGGTGGAGGTTACAGTGAGCCGAGATCATGTCACTGCACTCCAGCCTTGGTGACAAAATGAGACTCCATCTCAAAAAAACCCCCAAAAAACTTAATGAAAATAAAAACCAAGACCCAACTGTATGCTGTCTATGACAGTCATTTTAGATTTAAGGAAACAACATAGGCTAAAAGTAAAGGGGTGGAAAAAGAAATCACATGCAGGTGGTGACAAAAAGAGAGAAGGAGTGACTATATTTCTATCAGACAAAGTAGACTTTCAGTCAAAAACTGTCACAAGAGACAAAAAGGCATTTTTACAATGATAAAATATCAACCCACCAGCGAGATGTAGCAGCCATGAGTATGTACACACCCAACACTAAGGCACCTAGATATATAAAGTAAACCCTGACAACACTGAAGAGAGAAACAGAAGAAATACCGCAATAGTAGGAGATTTCAATACTCCACTTTCCACTGTGGACAGAACATCCAGACAGATGATCAACAGGAAAAAGAGGATGGGAGGAACGCTGTAGACCAAATGGACTTAGCACACATACAGACCGTTCCACCCAATAGCAGAACACATGTCCTTCTCAAGGGCAAACGAAACAGTCTCCAGAATCAATCACATGTTAAATCACTACCTTTGTCAGTTCAGACTACTGTAACAAAATATCAGAAACTAGATAGCATATAAACAACAGAAGCTTTATCTCACAATTTTGGAGCCTGAAAAGCCCAGAAGTCCACCTATGCCCTCTGGTTCATAGATGATGCTTTCTCATACATGATTTTTGATACCAGAATAAGCCTTTTAAGGTAAACCTCAAAATTCTCATTTTACCGGCCATTTTAGTCCCCTAGGTTTGACATGGGAGACAGTGACTACACTGGTGTCTTGACTTTTTTTAATATTTCATAAGAAAAGTTGCTCAAGTTCATCTTTGTGACTTCAGATGGTGGAAAGGGAAAGGACGCTCTCTGGGGCCTCTTTTATAAGGGTACGAATCTACTCAAGAGGGCTCTCAAACACTGAGACCATGGCTGCCACAAAAAGAGTCTACAAATCTAAGAAAATTGAAATCGGGCCAGGCGCGGTGGCTCACGCCTGTAATCCCAGCACTTTGGGAGGCCGAGGCGGGTGGATCACGAGGTCAAGGGATCGAGACCATCCTGGTCAACATGGTGAAACCCCGTCTCTACTAAAAATACAAAAATTAGCTGGGCATGGTGGCACGTGCCTGTAATCCCAGCTACTCAGGAGGCTGAGGCAGGAGAATTGCCTGAACCCAGGAGGCGGAGGTTGCGATGAGCCGAGATCGTGCCATTGCACTCCAGCCTGGGTAACAAGAGCGAAACTCCGTCTCAAAAAAAAAAAAAGAAAAAAGAAAATTGAAATCATACCAAGTATCTTTTCTGTCCATCATTGAATGAAACTAGAAATCAACAGCAGGAGGGAAACTAGAAATTTCACAAATAGGGCGCTGTGGTCGCCGTGCGAGCCCCGCGAGGAGGTTTCGCCCGGAAGGTGGCCTGAGCTCACAGAGACAGCATCTCAGAGATGGTGGCAGAGGGAGACAGTCGCAGACCCACCTGCCGGGGCCTGAGCTCACGGAGACAGCATCTCAGAGACGGTGGCAGAGGGAGACAGTCGCAGACCCACCTGCCGGGGCCTGAGCTCACGGAGACAGCATCTCAGAGACGGTGGCAGAGGGAGACAGTCACAGACCCACCTGCCGGGGCCTGAGCTCACGGAGACAGCATCTCAGAGACGGTGGCAGAGGGAGACAGTCGCAGACCCACCTGCCGGCTGCAGAGACTGCAAGCCTGGAAGAACAGCTGCAAGGATGGGGAGAAGCGATGCTGATGGCGGATGAAGTCCTTCGATGGGAAAGAGCCCGGGTTCCACCTGCCCTCATGGGTGCAGTTTCTTTGGTGTTTCTGAGTATCTGCTATCTAGACCCATCTGTTCCGTTGGGCGTTTCCTGTTTCCTTATGTTTTTGTGCTTGGCTGACTACCTCATTCCCATTCTGGCGCCTAGAGTTTTTGGCTCCAATAAATGGACGACTGAACAACAGCAAAGATCCCATGAAATTTGCAGCCATCTCGTAAAAACTCGACGCAGAGCTGTGGGTTGGTGGAAACGCCTCTTCACACGAAAGGAAGGAAAACCTAAGATGTACTTCATGACCGTGGTCGTTTCCCTTGCTGCGGTTGCTTGGGTGGGACAGCCGGTCCACAACCTGCTTCTTACCTACCTCATAGCGACTTCCTTACTATTGCTTCCTGGACTAAACCAACGTGGAATCATTTCGGAGTACACTGGAATGGCCAAAAGGGAGATAAACTTCTCAAACAAAAAGAAACGAAAAACGAATAATTCATCTGCTTATGCAGCGTGATTAACGGAGCACCCATTGCTCCTGGGAACCGCTTCTGCTGTGCTATGTGGATACTAAAATGGTTCAGAAGTAGCTCTTCGCTCTCCCTCACTCCGCCCTTAGTTAACAGAAATTGAAGCTCGCCAGGTAAGGCTTTGTGCATAGTGTCTTCATGTCGCATAGTCGAGTGAGTTCTTAGCAGTCGGCCTCATGAGTGACTCTGTTTCGATTTTTCGCAGCCAGGGTTAATGGAATTCTTGCTTTTTCACAGCTTCCTTTTTATAGTGGTGAACCTTGCCCTTTAGTGCAGTTCAAGTGACTCTGGATAATTGTTCCTCTTTGCTTTAGCTAGATTCGGGGTAGTGGTCTGTGGCTACAGGAAGCTGCTTCTACTGTCTGCGTCCACAGTCTGCTTAAAAGACTGTCTGACTTCATGAATACAGAGACCAAGTTTACCACTTCTGATGAAGAGACCGAGTACGATTCACTCCTCATTCTGTTCCTTTCCTGTGGGAAAAGAGTCCCATGGAATAAAATGAAACTGATTCCACGTGCTAGTACGTGTAGGTTTCTCCCTTGTGCAAAGCTTAGCTATTTGCAGGAAACTTTGATCTTTTTGTCCATAAAAGAGGAATGTCTGACAGGCTTAAGTTTTTGTCCCCTGGCACTTAGACTTGAAGTTAGTAAATCCTTAAAGGCTTTTTAAGGCAGAGTTCCGAAAGACTGCATTTAGGATCTCCAGCATACTTTTAATTTCAGATTTTCAGCTGACTTCAGCTGTATAGTATACAGTAGGTTAAAACTCGCGTCTACCACTTGTACTCTCAGACCAGCAGCAAAGGATGGCTGTCTTCTTTGTTTAGTAAAGATTCATTTTAGCAGAAGATAATCTGACTGATTTTTGATACCAGAATAAGCCTTTTAAGGTAAACCTCAAAATTTTCATTTTATGGTAATACTGGCCATTTTGGTCCCCTGGGTTTGATGTGGGAGATAGTGACTACACTGGTGTGTTGACTTTTTTCCTAGAGATTTCTCCCTGAAACATACAAGTGCTGTTGGTGAGAGCAGACTTAAGATGATGATAGTTCGCCTCTGGTCTACAAAGATTTTGTAATAACTCCTTGGAAAGCTTCTCATAATAATTCTTAACTTCTCAGTAGCTAGAAATTTGGAGTAGTTGAAATCTGTAGGAATCAACTTCTGAGGGCCAGAAATGTGACTGACTTGGGAACAATCCTTAAACTGATGACCCAGCTGTAACGGTTTTGAGAATTTGTGGCACTGATGTTGTGGACCTTGTGGTTTGTCTGTCCCTATTAAGTAAGTGTTGTTTTCTCCTCTTTAATATTGCTGTAAACAGTGGTGCCCTTAGTAGCATATATTTGATTTTTTTTAATATTTCATAAGAAAAACACCTTCATTTTACCTTACTTTAATTGTAAATAAGCCTATCTGGATTATTTTGTGTCTTCCACAAATATAATAATCACAAATCTGGATTATTTTGTGATTATTATAGCCTGTCTTCCTATCTGGACTTTTTTGTGTATACATGTTCTACTGATTAACTACTTGGGCAGTTTTAATCCTGTATTATTTCTTCTACTTGGTTTTGTGTAAAAGGGGAAAAAATAAAAACAGCCAGAATAAAAAAAAAAGAAATTTCACAAATATGTAAAAATTAAACAACATCTTCTTTTTAAAAAAATTTTTTGATTGGTTGAAAACAACATATTCTTGAATGACAATTGACTCCAAGAATAATTGAAAGAGGAAATTAGAAAATATCTAAAGACAGATGGAAGTGAATACACAACATACCACAAAGGTAAGGGTTGCAGCCAAAGCAGAGCTAACCGTGAAGTTCATAGAGATAAATCTCTACATTAAAAAAGATCTCAACGGCCTGACTTTACACCTCAAAGAACTGGCGAGAACAAACTCAGCCCTAAATTAGCAATGGAAGGAAAAGTAATGGTTAGAGCAGGTAAGAAAAGCAAAATAGAAAATAAAAAACTTAAGGAAACAATTCATTTTTGAAAAGATAAATAAAATTGACAGAAACTTAGCTAGACTAGCTACGAAAAATAGGAGGGAAGACTCAAATAAACCCAGAAATAAAAGAAGAGACATTGCAACTGCTACCACGAAAATAAAAAGTAGCACAAGAGACTACAATGAACAATTGTACAACAATAAACGAAGAAATTGATACATTCCCGGAAACTTACAACATACCAAGACTAAATCTTGAAGAAATAGAAAGTCTGAACAAACATATAACTATTATGGAGATTAAATATATCATCAAAAACCTTTCAAACAAAGAAAAGCCCAGAACCACAGAACCAGACAACTTCATTGGTGGATTCTATGAAATGTTGTTTTTTTAAGTGAACACCAATCTTTCTCAAATACTTATAAAATAATGAAAGAAACATTCCCAAACTCATGTTATGAGGCCAGCATCACCAATGCCAAAGCCACACAAAGATATCAAAAGAGAAGAAAACTACAGGCTGGTTTCTGTGATGAAGATACACACACACACACACACACACACACACAAAGCTAGCAAACTAACTCCAACTGCACGTTAAAGGAACCATATACCAGCTGGGCACAGTGGCTCATACCTGTAACCCCAACATTTTGGGAGGCCGAGGCAGGTGGATCACCTGAGATCAGGAGTTCGTGATCAGCCTGGCCAACATGGTAAATCCCACCTCTACTAAAAATACAAAAATTAGCTGAGCATGGTGGCGGGTACCTGTAATCCCAGCTACTCAGGAGGCTGAGGCAGAAGAATCGCTTGGACCTCACTGCAGAGGCTGCAGTGAGTGGAGGTCTCACCACTGCATTCCAACCTGGGTGACAGAGTGATACTATGTCTCAAAAAAAGACAAAAAGAAAAGAAAGAAGAATCATACATCATGACCAACTGGGATTTATCCCTGCGATACATGACCATTCAACATATGAAAATCAATTAATGTGAAATACCACATTAACTAAAGAAAGAATAAAAATTTTGTGATAATCTCAATAAATTCAGAAAAAGCAATTGACAAAATTCTACCCTCTTTCATGGTAAAACACAGGCAACAAACTAGGCATAGAAAGAAACTGCCTAAAAATAATAAGGCCAGAATTGAAAAACCCACAGCTAACATCATATTCAATGGTAAAATCTAAAAACTTTTTCTCTGAGATCAGAAAAAGGCAAAAATGCTCGCATTTGCTAATTCTACGTAACATAATTCTGAAAGTCCTCACCAGAGTAATTAGGCAAGAAAAAGAAATAAATGTCGTCCATATCAGGAAGTAAGAAGTAAAATTGTCCCTATTTGAAGACGACATGATCTTATATACAGGAAATTTTTAAAAATTCTCTTTTAAAGGTGTTAGAAGTAATAAACAATTCAGTAAAGTTGTAGAATACAAAGTCAACCTAAAAAATCAGTTGCATTTTTGTATAGTAACAGTAAATTAGCTGAAAATGAAATTAGAAAACAACCCCATTTATTAGAGCAGGAAAATGAATAAAAGACCTTGGAATAAAACTAGCTAAGGAGATGAAAGACTTGTATACTGAAAACTACAAACCATTAATGAAAGAAGTTGAATAGCACACAAACAAAACACATTTGTGTTCATTTTTTGGAAAACTAAATATTGTTAAAATGTTCATACTACCTAAAGTGATCTAAGATTCAGTGTAATTCCTATCAAAATCTTGATGACTTATTTTTACAAAAAAAAACACTAAAATTTACATGGAATCACAAAAGACCACAAATAGCCAAAGCTATCTTGACAAAGAAGAACAAAGCTGGAGGCCTCACACTTCCTGGTTTCAAAATATATTACAAAGGCACAGTAATCCAAACAATATGGTGCTGGCATTATTACAGATGTATAGATTGGTAGAATACAACAGAGATAGCCCAGAAATAAATCCATACATATAAAGTCAACTGATCTTTGAAAAGAATGTCAAGAATATACAATGAAGAAAAGATAATCTCTTCAACAAATTGTGTTTGGAAAAAGAAGATATCCACAGCGAGTTAAAGTGGACCCTTTTCTTACAACATACACAACAAACAATTAAAAATGGATTAAAAACCTAAATGTAAGAACCAAAATGGTTAAAACTTCTAGAAGAAAACATACAGGAAAACTTTATGACATTGATTTTGACAATGATTTCATGGAAATAACAGCAAAAGCCCAGGCAGCAGAAACAAATGGGACACTACATCAGACTAAAAAGCTTCTGCCCAGCAAAGCAAACAATCAACCAAGTAAAAAGACAGTGAAGATACTAGGAGAGAAGGTTAGCAAGCCATATAAACCCCATATCCCGATGAAGGGTTTGTCTTCAAAATATCTAAGGAAATTTTACTCATTAGTTAAAAACAATAAAGTAAGACCCAAATTACCCGATTAAAAAATGAGTGAAACACTTGATTAGAATTTTTTCTAAGACATGGCCAATAAGTGTATGAAAAAAATGCTTAATGTCAATAATCATCTTGAAAATGCAAATCAAACCACAATAAAATAATCACCTCACACCTCTCAAGATAGTTCTTATGGAAAGAAACCCAAAATAGCAAGTTTTGGTGAGGTTGTGGAGAAACGGGAACCCTGCCCACTGCTGATGGAAATGCGAAACGGTACAGCCGCTATGGAAAACAGTATCAAAATTCCTCAAAGATTAAAAAACAAACAAACAAAAACTACCATATGATCCAGCGATATCCCTTCTGAGTGTTTATCCAAAAGGACTGGAATCACGATCTGGAATTGATGCGCGCACACCAATGTTCACCGCAGCACAGTTCACAATAGCCAAGTTGTGGACATAAATATGTAAAGAAAAAATGTGTTGTGCTATTACCACCTGAAGCTTAATAAGAAATGGAGATGCAGTTAAAGCGTTGATCAGTCACAAACGTATTTCAATTCTAAAATTTGATTTGGAAGTCTTTAAGAAGCTCTCTCCGGGCATGCTTTCTAAATCAGAGCAGATAGTAACTTTCTACTGCTCAAGGCCAGCTGTATTCATTGATCACACATAGAATGTGTAGGAAATGGGTGTAGCTACACTTGTGTTCAGGTGAATCTGCCTTGATTTTTGAGAATCCTTGATAAAATTCCTTCCAAAGGTTTCACTGGTGTGCTGTGTGAGGAGAACATTGACAACTGTGACCCCGATCCGTGCCACCACGGCCAGTGTCAGGATGGTATTGATTCCTACACCTGCATCTGCAGTCCCGGGTACATGGGCACCATCTGCAGTGACCAGATTGACGAATGTTACAGCAACCCTTGCCTGAACGACGGGCGCTGCATCGACCTGGTCAATGGCTACCAGTGCAACTGCCAGCCGGGCACGTCGGGTAAGCCCGCTCCATTACGTTTGCTCTGGGTTCTTCACTGTTTCTCAGATCAGTTTACACGGATGTTTCAGACTGTTGGCGTGTGCTCAGAGACCGAAGAAAACGGTCCTGATTCTGAGAGGCACAGCCAAGGCCACAAGCATCAATGTCTCAAGGCAGGTGGCCCTAGTCAGTAGGGAAGTCGGAGACAATAGCTTTGCCAGTGAATGATTCTGTGTGTGTGTGTTTTGTTAAATCGAGGAACATCCCTTCAAAAATCAAAATTGTTACTTAAAATTAAAAACCTTCT